GACCAAAATTATAATACCCTCTGCAAGGGTATAACAAGTAAGAACAATGTGCTGGATTATTACAACTATCAGATACCCGATACTGCTTGATTTGGTACTTTTGCCATCTTGATTTTTGTCATAATATAAATTTTATTTGCAGTTTACTTGTGAACCAATTTATGTCCTTAAACATTTTAAAACGTACGTAAGGCTAAAAGTTTATTTTTGTAGCTTACACTTTTTATACCCTTGCAGAGGGTATTATAATTTTGGTCAAAAGTGTGCAACGCAGTGAAGGAGACATCTCCGACCCTATAAAGTATATATATTCTTGATCAGGATCACCTCCTGAGTTGATATAGCCATGTCCGTCTGTCCGTCTGTCCGTCTGTCCGTCTGTCCGTCTGTCCGTCTGTCTGTCCGTCTGTCTGTTTCTACGCGAACTAGTCTCTCAGTTTTAAAGATATCGAATTGAAACTTTGCACACACCCTTCTTTCCTTTGCACGCAGTATATAAGTCGGAACGGCCGGGATCGGCCGACTATATCCTATAGCTGCCATATAACTGATTGATCGGAAATGCCATAACTCTGCTGTTTGTTAGGTTAGGAAGTTGGGACTTTCTATGGGTTTTATATTTGGCCAATCAATCCGACGTACCAAATTTCATAAGGATCGGCCGACTATATCTTATAGCTGCCATATAACTGATTGATCGGAAATGCCATAACTTTGGTGTTTGTAAAGTTAGGAAGTTGGGATTTTCTATGGGTTTTATATTTGGCCAATCAATCCGACGTACCAAATTTCATAAGGATCGGCCGACTATATCTTATAGCTGCCATATAACTGATTGATCGGAAATGCCATAACTTTGGTGTTTGTAAAGTTAGGAAGTTGGGATTTTCTATGGGTTTTATATTTGGCCAATCAATCAGACGTACCAAATTTCATAAGGATCGGCCGACTATATCTTATAGCTGCCATATAACTGATTGATCGGAAATGCCATAACTTTGGTGTTTGTTAAGTTAGGAAGTTGGGATTTTCTATGGGTTTTATTTTTGCCTAATCAATCCGACATATCAAATTTCATAAGGATCGGCCGACTATATTCTATAACTGCCATATAACTGAACGATTGGAAATGCCATAACTTTGGTGTTTTTAAAGTTAGGAAGTTGGGATTTTTTATGAGTATTAAGAATGCATTATGAATGATTTTGGAGAATATAATTTGCAGAATATTCTGCAAGGGTATTTCAACTTCGGCTCCGCCCGAAGTTAGCTTTCCTTTCTTGTCTTTAAAATGATGTGATTAAAAATTACGCAATCTCTATAAGTTGCAGTATTAGATATTTTGAATAAGGAAGTCCTAAGAATTAATTTCGAATAATGATTGTTTTGATTTTATATTGCACCTTTATAAATAATTCTTAATCGCTGGTGATTTTAAAAACTTTATAAGCATCATATTTTGTATAGTTACTCATAAAATATGTAATAAATTGATTTAAAATCCAACGCAATATTTGTTGTTAATTTAGAGTATATACTCTTCAGATCTAATATTACAGGGTATGCTGGCTTAGTCCGAGCCAGAGCAGCCACCTAGCTCTAATTGGGCATAATTTAAATTCCGCTCGTGAGCGCCATGAATTTAACGTTTTGGCGCTTCCCCAACTTGGGAGTTGGACTCTCTTCAGGCTGCCGGCATTGGCGGTAAATTTCATTTGATTTTATTTGGTTTCTTCCAGCTGGGCTACCGGTGCAAGGCGCTAGGCCTAAGGAGTCCAGATCGCAGACAACGATCCTCCTGGATACTTCCTTATTTGTTTCCACCTTTATGTCCGTTAGTGTGTTTGTTTTCGATACTCCGCTTAATTGGTTTTGCGCCTAGAGCTGGCCGAAAAACCCACTCAAAGATATTTGGGGGCGAGAGAAGCTATTGATAATGGTTCGATGCCTCAGTTTTGATTAGGAGGCGGCTATTAGAAAATTGAATATACGTTTGTGTGTGGAATTGCTTGTTGCTGGTCTGCCGTTGTGTGAAAGTCGTTAACAAAAGGTTGCTATATGATTTTTATCCAGTAAATTGTTTGGCTATTGGCAGAACTTTGCCAAAGATCGTGCAGTTTTAGTAGGTCGATTTGCAGTGAACGGTCTGCGTGGTGAGCGGAAAATAATTTCTTAAGATTGCGTCGAAATAGCTAATCCAAATAGTATTTTATTGTGGTCAAAACATGTTGGCTAAGAAAAGAGTTTTAAGTAAATACATGAGTATATGTATTGAATTTCTATTAAAGTAATCTGACTATTACATGTCAGGCCTGAATAAAACAAATATCTTCTTCAAAATATTTCAACACTTATAGAGTTATTAAATTTCAATTGCTAACAGGAAGTCCTGTCTGGTGTTGAAAACATTCCTAACTACCTTTTTGTTCCAGGAAATCCTTTTAGGAATTCGAAAATTCTTTTAAAATCCCCATCCCTTTCTGGTGCACTTGTGCCAAACAATTTGTAAGCCATCATTTCAATTAAGATGCATAAATCACGCCGAAATCAGCAGCCTCATCAGGGTAGGAACGACATCATCATCATCGCCGCCATGATTATCCTCCGCGACCGCGTACACATCGTTATCCTCAAGTACGTCGGGCACTTAAGGCCGGGCATGCGCACAACCTGGAGGAAACCCTTTTATTTTCCTCCAATCTCTCGTTCGAGTTCGTTTCATTCGATGCCGCCTTGGGTTCGGTTTTCGATTCTGTTAAACGAACCAATTTAAACGGCGCATCGACAATGGATAAAGTGTGCGGGTGTGCCGGCGGCATGGGTATTCGGATTCTCAATTCCGGACTGAGGGGTAAGGGATAAGGGCCTTGCTCAATCCTTTACAGGGGCCAAGGGATCGACAATTGCAGCTCTTTTAGCGGGCTCGTGAAACTGCTGTTTCACGCTTCAACAAATGCTCTTTGAGCCACAGCAGAAACTGCAGAGGCATCAACAAATTGCAGCAGATACAAAACAGAGATGCCAACAGGCCCGTTCTGGATTCCACTCTTATTTATGGGTTTCAAAGTTAAATTAAATGAAGGGAATCGATCCTTATTTTTAGATCGAACATTGTGCAAATTAAAATTTTAAAGAAGTTACACAGCTGTTTTGATTTTTTAAATTTTAATATTTTGATGTTTGAAATTAGAATTCATTCTCACATGGGCAGTATAATTTTTGTTTTATTAAATTTGCTTAAATATTCATGAATATTAAACAATATCTAATAGAGTTTCGCTTAAAAGAATATTTTAATCTAAACTTTCCAAAGAGAAATAAATATACTTCAACTGATTTTCTTTTTTTTAAGTCTATTGGTGAAATTAGAAACCAGAATACAGAATTAGCCATACTTTTCTGTGCCCTGCAAACTGGCATATGGAGCGCAAACTTATTAGGGCGAACGAGGTATTTATGTAAGTGCCACACGATTGGGCTGCAAATAGCCGCGGGCAACATGAAACGTGCGCCACCGTAAATCGTCCAATGAGTATCGTCGTATTAGCAGGAAATATCTTTTGAGGGTATCTTTAAGATGCATTCGAACTGGCGTTAAGTGCGGCAATTCGCTCCACTCCCCGGGGGCCCTTCACCTGCTAAAATGCCGTGACGACACGTCACAAAAGCACCGCAAGGATAATGGTAAATGACCGAAGGACTTGGAGGGTCGAAAAGGTCAGGACTCTCGACACAACGCGAAACTGTCAAAACGATATAAAGTGGAAAACATGTGGCGAGGGCTGGAAATGAAAACAAGGAGTAGACAACAAAGACACTTCAAGTGCATGGTGCTAGCAGGACTACAAATGTTTTCTTTGCCACTCCGGGAATTTCCCCGTTCGAGTGCCCGATTTCTACCTTAGCCACTTGCAGCTTGTTACCTGCTAAAGTCAAACGAATTGGCTTGCACCATCCACCAATGCAACAGGTAAATCATCGAATGCCTTCGGGAATTTAAGAGAGATCGCTGCAAAGGGCCAAAGAGAGAGAATTTGATGAAAGAGCAAGGTCCCAATTGTGGATCGTGACTTGCTCTGATAGAGATGTTATCGAATCAGGTGATAAGCCGGCAATGAACTTTTAAAAGTCTGAGGGCAAATAAAAGGTGCTAAAGGGTTACGTTTAGGTTGATAAATGTTAATTCGTAAGACTATAAACGTTTTCGGCAACAGAAATCAAGTTTCCATCTCAAAGGACATGGTTGTAAATTTGGAAATAAAATCAGAAAATGTAAATGTAAATTCAAATATGCTTGTGAGAGAAATCAAAATGGTTTAGAATACCTGGTACTCAGTCCCTTAAAAGCATTGCATACTTTTTGGGGTATACTTATGACAATATCCTCGAAATGATATACAAACTAAAATCTCGTCTGTGACCAATTTAACAAATTGTAGGTGTAAATAAAAAACATATTATATTCCTTCTAAAAATAACACTTTCACCGTATAAGTTTCATAATTCATCCCAGAAAAAAAAATCATTCCTTTGAAATTTGTATGTCATATGTTAACTGATAATAACATAACATTGGTTAGAAATTTAGCCAACATTGTCCCCAGGATCAAAGTAAGAAACTCTTGCTTCTAAGTTAAAATGATTTATGATTATTAAAGCTTCTTTTGGTTACATTAACCCGCAATCTTAAGATATTGTAGTAACATTCTTAATCAACCAGGCAAGAGTTCACATAGGAAACTCCCCACGCCCAAGGGTCAAACATTTTAAGATCGGCCAAGATCAATAAAGTCCCTAATTAGGAGTACGCCGCTGGGCCACCACCCATTCCGAGGTGTTAGATTTCCCAGAAGGCCAGTGCAACTTCCTCCGGCATCTGGCCTCTGCTTCTGCCTCTGCAACTCAGCTCGTAAACGCGATCCACAAGGTTCCACTCACTCGCGATCTCTCGGATGTGTTTCGAACTGCAGCTCGGAGCGATCAGTTCGTGTTTGACGGTCGTTTGCGTAGGAAGCAAGACACGCGACGGGTCTCGAGTGCCGTGAGATGGGTGAATTCTAGATGATAGTGCCTTCGAATAGTTGTGCGGCTGCTCTCTGCGCGATTTATTTATGTGTCATAAAATTAAACGGCAATTATGCGATAAGCCGCTACTAATAAATAAGTAATTGTGAATTTCTGTATGCCATTTCCGAGTTTCCCTGCAACGCCGAAGATCGAACGTTTCGGGCCTCTTTTTTCCTTTTATTTTACACTTCACTTCGAGGATACGAAAATAGCCGCCGTGAAAAATGTTTGCTTGTCGCTGAGCAGGAAAGTGGCAAATGTGTCTGAAACAAAAATAAAATTAAATAGCGCAAAAATGTTGAAGTAGCAAAGTTACAAAAAGTCTGCAGGAAAATAGAGCAATATAAAGTGAAAGATTCGCAAGAGCAAATGCGTAAAAAAGTGTACAAAAATTCAAGCGGAAATCGTTAATGATTTGAAAAAGAAATAATATAAAAAAAAGAACAATCAGTGAAGTGCAAATAAAAAGATTATGAATGAAAATACCAAGAAATAAGTGCTTGCTTCTCAAGGGGTTTTAATAAAAGATCAGAAAAAAAATTCAATAATAAAGGAAGAGATCCAAGTTCAAAGTCGAGCGGGGTAAAATGTATCTTTAGTGCTCTTTGTGCGTACTTAGTTGGTTTTAATATGCAAATCGGAAATTATATTAAATGGCCATTGGGCCTGGTCCTCATCCTGTTGGCCATCCACTGCCAGGCTAAGAAAAATCGAAAACGACTGCACGGATTCTCGAGTGCCAAGGACCTTCAGGAATATCGACTCCCGCTCAACGACAGCTCCTTGGAGCTCCAGCAGAACATCGTGTCCTGGACAGGAGCTCGCATTGTGCCCGGCGAGAACAAGAAGAAGAAGTCATCCCAATCATCGCGAAGGCACAAAACTAAAAGTGGCCTGATCATTGAAAGTAACATTGCCGACTCGGATTCGATGTTGGCTAATGCCTCCTCGGAATCCGTCACCAAGAAGAAGTCGCCGCAGCGTCGTCGCAACGGAAAATTGCAGAAATCAGGAGGAGGTGGAGGAGGAGGTAAATCGTCTATAACTATGGATGGGGTCTTCTAAATATGGTTCCCTGATCGATTGTGCAGCACCAGAAGTTGATCGCATTGCTCGCCTTCGGTTTCCTGGTCGCTGGTCGTGTTTCTGCCATATTTGGCCGCTCAAGTTGAAAGAACTTTCATGTGAAAGTTGTGACAGGAGGAAGAGATTCTTTAATATAGCTGAGCAACTCTTTTTTTTTTTTCTTTTCTGAAATTCTATACGTTATTACGTGAGAGGTCCAGTTATGGTCCGGCAATGTTGCAGTGGTTGTCGCCCAGGTCTTCGCCTGTTGGCACATAGTTGCCCTGGCCTTGCCTTGCCTTTGTTGTTAGTTAGTTGGAAAAGAAAAACTCAGCTTTTTGTTATGTGAACTTTGCCTATTAGGAATATGAATCGCTTCGGCCACTCTAACCAACTGTGAGATGATAGATCTCTGGTTATGGCATTGTGAACTCTGGGTTTAATGGGGAAAACAGAAAAAGTTAACAAGGGATGTGTATTTTGTACTTTTCAAACAGCTGTCATAAGTTGAAAAGTTCACGACAATTTTTTCAATTAAAACCAAAAACCCTGCAAATAATGACCAAAATGAATTATAATTCATGACACAAAAACACTTTAAAATATTGCAGTTATTTGAATCAACTTTATATTAAACATAATAAAAAACACGAATTTATTTAAAACAGAAGGGGCTTAATAGAACCTCTATGGAAATAAAGGTGGAATCGATTTTTGATTATTTTTAATTACAAGGAATAATGAATGATCATTTTATTTTTAACCTCTTGTCCATCTCATTAAAACGAATCAAAACATAAACTTCCTAACAAATTACTATCCTACCTTTGTAACAACAATTGGTAAGGCAATTGAACCGATAAACATAGCGAACAAAAGGCGATCCACAAAGATGAATAGAAATACAATATGCTCATGCTTATGTATGGCTAGATGTTCTCTATAACCCTTGGAGATTGTCCCCGAGAATGTGTGTGTGGGTCTGGGGCACTTCAGGGCATTTGTTTGCCGAACACATGACCCCGAACCGCCGAGAAGAAACAGATTGAGGACAACAATAGCGCCAGGCCATGTTCTAGTGTAATTGTGGTCGATTCTGAGTGTTGAAGATGCCGTAACTAGGCAGCACCAACAATGGTCGATTGTTAGCCAGTTCGTCCCTGGAGAGTATAATTGATGAAGGCAGAGGCATGCGTATCGCCTTTTGGAATGCCTCACGCGCTAATAGCAACATATGTTTCCCAAGCAATGAAGCGAGGAACCCAGAACCCACACACATGGCCTCGCAAAAGGGTTTATTAAAATATCTTCTGGACTGTCATGGTTATAAAACTTAAGTGGCTTACTGTGTCTATTTATGGATGAGTTTTTGTCGTTAAAATTTGTTTTAAAACACAACAAAGCGAACGTCAATTCGTTCTGCTACTAGGGTGCGTGTGGAAATGTTTGGATACATTTCATTTTAAGCTGCCTTTTGATAATCACTTCTTAATGCCATAGTGTGGTTTATAGAAATTACTGATGATTAGCCTAGAAAGATAAGAATTAATTTTATGTGAGAATAGAATTTGGAGACATAGAAAGTAACGATAAGCATGGAGAATGTTTTTTTATCTGTTTAATTAAAATATTTTTTTAACACTTTACTAATGCTTAAGCAAAGAAACAGTCTTGAATTGAAATAGTTTAGTCAGTCCGGATTTTACTAAAATAAAAGTTTGTTTTTAACATACTGAACAAAAAAATAAAATTTAATATTCTGTGATCTCAATAGTAAATATCTATTAACTTCAGGAAAATGTTTATAAAGTGGGATCAACATTTGCTCACCTCAAAAAACACCAACATGGGGCAACTTTTTAATAAGTAGTCAGTAAAGTGGTTTCCTGATGCCATAATGATTGCAAATCAATTCTAAATCATTCGATTGTAAATCGATTCAATGAAACACTTTTCAACGACAAAGCCTTGAAGACATAAACGCGAATTGATGAAGCAAATTATTGGCCAGTTAAGTCGTATTTATAACGCCCGAGCGAGGCGATTGGCATTAATTGATTGATTGGCTTGTTTGGATTAGAGAAAACGAAAGTTTCCCAATGGCGAAATGGGTCACAAATACAGATACATGAACAGATCAAAAAGATACGAATGGATTGACCCACGCTTGTATTTCCGTTGGGTTTATCGGGCTGTTTTCCAATCAAGCAGCGAGATACTTGGACAAACACGCACACTTTATCAGCTCATTAAGTATCTTGTGGATACATTCTTTACACTGGTAGCCATAAGTCATGGCCAACTCAGCTGCGTTATTTGCTTTTCGCTGTCGATCGAAAAGTGTTTGAGAAATGCACTCTTCAATGATTTTTCTCTTTTACGTTTAGTTTCGTTTCGTTTCGCCTCGCTTTGCTTTATTATACCCTTGCAGAGGGTATTATAATTTTGGTCAAAAGTGTGCAACGCAGTGAAGGAGACATCTCCGACCCTATAAAGTATATATATTCTTGATCAGGATCACCTCCTGAGTTGATATAGCCATGTCCGTCTGTCCGTCTGTCCGTCTGTCTGTCCGTCTGTCTGTTTCTACGCGAACTAGTCTCTCAGTTTTAAAGATATCGAATTGAAACTTTGCACACACCCTTCTTTCCTTTGCACGCAGTATATAAGTCGGAACGGCCGGGATCGGCCGACTATATCCTATAGCTGCCATATAACTGATTGATCGGAAATGCCATAACTCTGCTGTTTGTTAAGTTAGGAAGTTGGGACTCTCTATGGGTATTATATTTGGCCAATCAATCCGACGTACCAAATTTCATAGGGATCGCCCGACTATATCCTATAGCTGCTATATAACTGATTGATCGGAAATGCCATAACTTTGGTGTTTGTAAAGTTAGGAAGTTGGGATTTTCTATGGGTTTTATATTTGGCCAATTAATCCGACCTACCAAATTTCATAGGGATCGGCCGACTATATCTTATAGCTGCCATATAACTGATTGATCGGAAATGCCATAACCTTAGTGTTTGTTAAGTTAGGAAGTTGGGATTTTCTATGGGTTTTATTTTTGCCCAATCAATCCGACATATCAAATTTCATAAGGATCGGCCGACTATATTCTATAGCTGCCATATACATAACTGAACGATTGGAAATGCCATAACTTTGGTGTTTTTAAAGTTGGGAAGTTGGGATTTTTTATGAGTATTAAGAATACATCATATGAATAATTTTGGAGAATATAATTTGAAGAATATTCTGCAAGGGTATTTCAACTTCGGCTCCGCCCGAAGTTAGCTTTCCTTTCTTGTTTTTGTTTGTTTCTTGTTAACTGCATTACACAATGCTTAAAGATGAAAAGCGCACTTCAGTTCTCTTCGGGTGCTTCTGGAAATTTAGATTTGTGGGAAAATGTTCAGCGGTCGGCTGCTGCCTGTTGTCATTGAGTTTTATTTGTTTTTAATTTTTTATTGACATGTGAAGTTCGTAAAAGTTGAGTGAACTCTGTTTTATGGTTGATTTTCTTTTGCCTGCCACCGAAAAGCGTGAAAAGCAAAAGTATTAAACTCGAAGAGGCTTAAAGGAGTTGGTCAAGAGTTTGTGGGGAAAAGATATATACATTTATGATGAAACTAATGCACTTAAATTATTAAATTTATGATGCAAGTAATGTGTTGATCTTACCGAATTTATGATAGAACTGATCAAACTGATGAAAGAATTTAAGCCGAATTCTGTGGTTCTTTTTCATGATCTATGGCTTCGAGATATCCCTCGATATCTGAAGTATTTCCTTTGTAACTCAGACTTGTTTATCGTTTATAAATCTCTCATTCTCACCTGCATTCATTTATCGCCCCTCCCCTTGTCCCCACATAGCCCTTTGTTGTGATAATTTATTTAAATGCACTTTATAGATCGACTGAGTAACACCTGGCCGGGGCAATAATTTGCGCTGTCTTAACGGAAATGCACGAAATGATGGATGCACCGGGCAGCTGGCCAGCTAAAAAAAAAATGCAACATTCAACGGTTTGGCCTACACTCAAAGAAAACTCCCCCACTCAAAAAATCAACAAACGGAGCACATGTCAAAACTGAGCCAAAACAAAGGGAAGAGCGATGGGAAAACAATTGTTGAACTCATTAATACCAAACAATAGACCGTGGAGCATTGTTCATGTTCTTCGGGTAATTCGATATTGAAACTTAATATATCTTTCAAATAATTCTGCCCCAGTCTTTTGAAGTAATCGAGCACTCCAGCAACATTAAACTAGAGTTGAAGACCATTAAAATAGTTTTATGGGCCACAAAACGGAACACACAAACTAAGAAGCCCAGAAACTCTGCATGTAAACAACACGAAAAACTGGGGGGCGTTTGTAAACAAAACAGTTTTGTGGACCAAACAAAAGGAAGTTTAACACCAAACTCGGCTGACCAACAGACGCCACAAATGATCTATGGAAATTCCTCACAACCCAGAACTCCTATATCAACATGAGCGAATCAAAACGCTTGGTAGTTTACACAAGTGGAAGCATTACTCTTCTGGAACTTAATTGTTGGTCCGAGATTTTCGATGTTGGTCTATGGTCCATGGCAGAATACAGAACAACAAGTCGAGGGACTTTGAAGTGGTCTATCCAAAAACTCTCCTGTGTTTTGTATGTTTGCATTGGCTATAAATTAATGTTATAGACCAAGTTTTGATAAGACATTGACGCCGTCTGTGCGGCGGCGACGTCGACAAAAAAACATGGGATAAAAGTGGCAACCACAGAGGGAATGATGACGGCCACCGGAACATTTAACGGGTCAGTGTGCAGTCACACGTTGGTGGGTCAGAAAATGGTAGATAGGATGGTCATGGGTTTGGTTTGGGACCGGGGTCTATTTCTATGTCTGGCAGGGGCCTTGCACAGAGTGTATAACAAATTCGAAGCTCGTTAGTG